GTGTCTTTTAAGTCAAATTTGTAGGTAAGTCGGAACAGGTGGGTACGGTTCTTATTGAGCCTTCCTTTAGTGCAAGAAAAGGCTCAAAGGCTTTTCAATGATTTAAAAGCTGCACGTGCAGAAAGTGAAGGCAACGTGATGAATTGTTTCGAGTAGGGGTTGGTTCAGTCGTTTCAAAGTAAGGGCCAATTTACATAGTATTAAAGGACAAGTATGAGATGTCCTCAGGTCAGACGTTCGTAACCCGGGGCTGCTGTATGCACGTATGTTCTGTGATTAGTTACGTTTGTAAATGCTCACGTCGTTACCAGGATCAAGTGAAGGCAGCATACCTGAGAACAAAGCAGCATGACCAGCTCGACCACAGACGTGCTGGACTTCATGCACACAAGGCCTGCAACAAACAAATGTGAATGGAGTGAGATTAGAGCAGCAGAAACGGTCATCCGAGTTCATTCATGAATACGGTTTTCACTTACAGAAACTTCCTTTAAAATAGCACCCTGAAAATAGAATGAATAGGATTCAAATATAATTTTACATTAATTTTAAAAATATTATCATATTTAAGTTGTGAAAAGTACTAAAAAATTGACAGCATGCTTGGGTTATTTATTTGGTCAAAATATTTCTTATAGTTAAACACGACAAGGGAGGTTAAGTGCTTGGCTGTTAACCTAAAGGCCGGCGGTTTGAACCCACCCAGTGGCTCCATGGGAGAAAGCTGTGGCAGCCTGCTTCTGTAAAGATTACAGCCTTGGAAACTCTATGTGGCTGTTCTACTCTATCCTATAGGGTCACTATGAGTCAGAATTGACTTGACAGCAATGGGGTTTGGTTTGGTTACAGAATTGATGGGCTGGTAGGAGCTGATTTCATTCCCATAACATCTGTGAAGTAACTGTCTTCTGAAGCAAAGAACAATAAATCTGTGCAGATCTGCCTAAATTCTCTACCAACAGGCAAAATTAAAGTGATTTATAAATAGGTTGTTCCCATAGATTGTCAGATGTTAAATCATTTTTAAAGACAATAAAAACGATTTCATACACAGTTAACACTCGTTAAATAATGCTGATAGAATCTTCCATTGTTCTGCGCCTGAACCCTCTGGATGCACTTCCTGTGTGTTAGGTGCTGTGCTAAGTGCTCCTAGGCACATGGTCTCATTTAATTCCCATCATTCCAACTCTGTAGCCCAGAAAAGATTCTCTCCCATGCACAGCTTAAACATGAATTCTTCGTCAACATTTTTCCCAATTGACAGATGACTTCTATACAACATTTTATACAATAAGAAAGCAGATCATAATTAGTCCTTTTTTTAAGTGCCAACATACGGGATATGTAACCAACGATTAGGAACCTGACCTCTGGATGAGAGAACAGTATCGTGATGTTTGCTAATTTAAAAAATATTTTAAAAGTTTTTCCCTGATTTTTAAATTAAAATAACTTAATGAATCGAGCTGTTTTTATTTGAGGACAAATGTGATCAGTAAGAGCATCTGCGCTGGAAGAAATTCCACGCTCTTACATTAGTTGTTGCCAAACAGAAAGTCGAAGCGAAACTGGTTATTTTGTTTTTCTTAAGTGATTTCACTCAACAGTCTCAAAGGCCTTCCAGACCCTAGCATGTGTATCTGTTGTAGGTGGTGGATACACACCCTTTGTACCCACTTTGCTAACAACTTGTCCTGACTGTACAGACAGAACACGCTGTAAAAGGTACTAGCTTTCCATCCTATCGGCTCTGGGGCAGACAGCTAACTAATGAAACAAGAGGCAGACGGGAAGGGCTCACTCAGGCCACACCCGCTGGAGCTGATCGGCGATTCCTGTGCTCACATGCTAGAGAGGCAGGAAGATTAACGGGACGTTTATCACCTGTTGGCTACTCAACTATCAGAACTCTGAAAAAAGAAAAACTAAGCAAAAGGCCAAAGGACTATGCAGGGGCAGATTAGCCAACAGGCAAGGTAAGCACGGTGCTTACCTTGCTTACC